ACAGTGGACCCCCGGTTAACGATTTTAATCCGTGCAAGAGGGGTAATTGTTATGCGAAATAATCGTTATGTGAATGAATTTTCCCCATAAGAAATAATGGAAATAAAATTAATCCGTGCAAGACACCCAAAAGTATGAAAAAAAATTTTTTTTACCACATGAAATGTTAATTTTAATACACACAAACTGAAAAAGGCATGCACACTTACATGACACTTACTTTTATTGAAGATCTGGTGATGATTGATGGGATGGGAGGAGGGGAGAGCATTATCTTCTTACTGTTTAGAAGGGAACCCCCTTCCATTAGGACTTGAGGTAGCAAGTCCTTTTCCGGGGTTACTTCCCTTCTTCTTTTAATGCCACTAGGACCAGCTTGAGAGTCACTGGACCTCTGTCGCACAACAAATCTGTCCATAGAGCTCTGTACCTCCCGTTCCTTTACGATTTGTCTAAAATGGGCCACAACATTGTCATTGAAATAGTCACCAGCACGGCTTGCAACAGCTGTGTCAGGGTGATTTTCATCCATAAAGGTTTGCAGTTCAACCCACTGTGCACACATTTCCTTAATTTTTGAAGTAGGCACAATGGATTCCACAACTGGCATAGGCTTCTCAGGGTTAGCCCCAAACCCTTCAAAATCTTTCTTAATTTCCATACTAATTCTCACCCTTTTTACCACAGGGTTGGCACTAGAAGCTTTCTTGGGGCCCATGGTCACTTATTTTCCAGAAACAGCACCGAAAACACTGTAATAATACGAAATATTCCGATTGTATGCTTGGATGTTACCGCGGAGGCTGGCTGGTAAACAATGCCACCGGCGGAACATGTGAGCGCGTCTTGGAAGAAATCGGTTAAGCGGGTTTTTAAGCGGTATGTGAGGCAAAATTTTTGCAATTAAAGTAAGCGGTATGCGAAATAATCGCTATGTGATGCCATCGTTATGCGGGGGTCCACTGTATTAGCTCTCCTCCTCCCTCCCTCCCTTTCTCCCTCCTCCCTCCTCCTCTTTCTCCTCCTCCTCCTCTTTCTCCTCCTCCTCCTCTTTTCTCCTCCCTCTCCTCTTTCTCCTCCTCCTCCTCTTTCTCCTCCTCTTTCTCCTCCTCCTCCTCTTTCTCCTCCTCCTCTTCTTTCTCTTCCTCCTCCTCCTCTTCTTTTCCTCCTCCTCCTCCTCTTTCTTTCTCTTCCTCCTCCTCCTCTTCTTTCTCCTCCTCCTCTTCTTTCTCCTCCTCCTCCTCCTCCTCTTTCTCCTCCTCCTTCTTCTCTTCCTCCTCCTTTCCTCCTCCTCCCTCTCCTCCTCCTCCTCCTCTCCTCCTCCCTCCTCCTCCTCCTTCCTCCTCCTCCTCCTTCCTCTTCTTCCTCCTTCCTCGTCTTCTTTCTTCTGCCTTCAGATCTAGTGAGAGAAAGCTGGTAGGCCTACATATGAATGAATGGGTCTATGTGGTCAGTGTGCACAGTATAAAAAAATTCCTGCAGCACAGTGCGTAATGAGAAAAAAAAACTCCGACCGTGTTTTTGGTCTAAAACAGCGACTTTGCAGTGTATTTTCGTATGCTATTTATGGTTGTATTCTAGTTTTCTTGGTCTCATTTCATAGAGTGGAAGACATATTATGGAAATTGAGATGATTTTGATTGGTTTCACAATGAAAAGTACCTTGAAATTGAGCTCAAATTAGCAGAAATGTTTGACTTTTGTCAACGTTCAAAAGTAAACAAATCATGCCATCCTTCCAATACACGTCAACCGGTGAGTCTAATATTCTTTCACAAGTGCGCTGATATTATTTATATCATTTTTACACTAATGCAGTAGTCTGCGAAACAGTAAATCTTCTATTTTTGTGAGAATAAAAATTCAAACTGGAAAGCAAAAGAAATATAACAGAGGCCTGGGGATGTGACTAATGAACAGAGGAAATGTTATTTTAGTGCCAGGAATGTCTGTCTGGTTTATTCTGGACCCTGTTTGGAAATTGGCATCTTTTGAAATTTGTGTGAAATTGGCAAAATTGCCAATTTCTGACCACTTTATTGGGTAGTTGACATTGGTAAATGGGTAGTTTCTTGTATTCATTTAATAGAAAAAATCGAGTTCTAGCAAAATATGTATGATTTTTATCGACTGGCACATTGGAATTGGCCGAAAATAGGACTCAAAGTGGGCGAAATCGTCGATGCATAAACATCGTTGAGACCGCTAACTTCTCGAGAGCATAATTCCGTAAGTTTTCCATTAAATTTCATACTTTTGTTGGCATTATGATCGGGAGAAGATTCTCTATCATTTCATAAGAAAAAATAATTATTTTATTTTTTTGAAAAATTTCCAACCCTGAGAACAAGTTTAGGAGAGGGCCTGCTGACCCCTAAAGGGTTATTGTAGCCCAGAACCATATTATTATCATTGATATACCACGTTCACTGAGTTTGTTTCTAATAACTACCTTTAGATGCCATCATAAACAAAGGGAGAAGTAATGAATAATTCAAGCCGAAAAGCGTTATGTATTAAGGGGAGTGACATAATGTTTTCCCTCTGCCCGGCTACGACACCTGCATAGTATATAAACATTTTATGTTTATATACTATGTAACATGTTTCTTATATAATTTTGAAGAAAATATAATAGATGGATTAATGAAAATGTCTATATTAACTTAAAATAAGACATTTAATGTATCCAAGAGTGATTATTATTAGTACAGTGGACCCCCGATTAACGATATTTTTTCATTCCAGAAGTATTTTCGGGTGCCAGTACTGACCGAATTTGTTCCCATAAGGAATATTGTGAAGTAGATTAGTCCATTTCAGACCCCCAAACATACACATACAAACGCACTTATATAAATACACTTACATAATTGGTCGCATTGGGAGGTGATCGTAAGTGGGGGTCCACTGTATTATGTAATGTTTTCCCTCCACCTGGCAACCACACCTCCATAGCATATAAACAGCATGTTTATATGCTATGTAATGTGTTTCTTATATAACTTTGAAGAAATTATCATAGATGAATGAACCCTTTCAGGGTCCGTGCCGTAGATCTACGGCTTTACGTTCAGGGTCCAAACCGTAGATCTACGCCATGAGCTCAGCTCACTCTGATAAGCTGTGAGCAGTAAATTTGGGCCTAGATATGAGAGAATACATCTATGTGGTATGTGTGCACCACATAAAACAAATCCTGCAGAACACAGTGCATAATGAGAAAAAACTGAGACCGTAATTTTCTATTAAAACAGCGATTTTGCAGTATTTTTTCGTATGTTTTTATAGTTGTATTTGCAATTTCTTGGTCACATTTGATAGAATGGAAGATATACTACAGAAATAGAGATGATTTTGATTGGTTTTAGTACTGGAAATGGCTTGAAACTGAGCTAAAAGTAGCAGACATGTTAAATTTTTGGCGATGTTCAAGAGTAAACAAATGACCTCACAAGTCTAATACATGACAGCTGGTGGGTCTAATATACATTTACAATTGTGGTGATGCTATTTATACAATTATTACAGTATTGCATAACAGTAAATCTTCTACTTTTTGGTTTGAATAAAAATTCATTATGTGAATGAAAAATCAAAATGGAATTCATTTGTAAAGCCTGAAAACATAACTAATGAACAGAAGAAATGTTAGTTTAGTGCCAGGAATGCCTGCATTGTTTATTCTGGACACTATTTTGAAATTGGAATATTATGAACTTTGTGTGAAATTGGCCAAATTACCAATTTCCGATCACTTTATTTTGTCGTTGACACAGTTGACTTGGTGATTTCTTGTGCTCAGTCGATAGAATAGAAGTACAGTGGACCCCCGGTTAACGATATTTTTTCATTCCAGAAGTATGTTCAGGTGCCAGTACTGACCGAATTTGTTCCCATAAGGAATATTGTGAAGTAGATTAGTCCATTTCAGACCCCCAAACATACACGTACAAACACACTTACATAAATACACTTACATAATTGGTCGCACTGGTAGGTGATCGTTAAGCGGGGGTCCACTGTAATACTAGTGAAATAGCTAAGAATTTGGTTGACTGGAATACTGTAATTGGCCTAAAATGGGAGCCAAAGTCGGAAAAATCGCTGATGAGTAAATATCACCGACACATCAAAATTCGCGTGAGCATAATTTCGTCAATTTTCCATCAAATTTCGTACTTTTTGTTTTATTACCTTTAGAAAAAGATTCTCTACCATTTCATAAGAAAAAAGAAATTTTTTTTTTGAAAATTCTTTGACCCTGGTGCACACTTTGAAATTTGGCCTCTGGACCCTGAAAGGGTTAATGAAAATGTCTATATTGACATAAAGTTAGACATTTAATGTGCCCAGGAATGATTTTTATTACATAATAGAGAGATGTGCTCATGGAGAATGTAAACAAACCGGGTGGTGCCTGCGGTATTTGAAAGACCGCTTGCCGCATAGAAAGTTTTGGTCATAATTTGAGATTGCCATATTAGCAGAACTCTGTGAGGCGAAACGCCGAAAAGCAGAGCCCTACTTTACTAGTGTCGTAACAAAGATTGGTTATGAAATGACAAGAACTGCTATAAATTGTAATGATCAGAACATAAAAAGTATATAAAATAATATGAAAAAGAGAAAAAGAAAGTATATCAGTAACACTTTTGTAAGCGGTAGGACTGGAGGTTGCCGTCAGGTGAACATCCAGTGCCAACTTCTCGGCCTCATATCTCTGTAAGTACTGACCCTAATTTTTTTTTTGTCCTATAACACTTAGAAAAATGTGCTCTTTATTTCCATAAAAAAAAATTTATTTTCCAAAATATTCAGAGCACTGGGGTAGTGAACATATATATACCTCTGGACCGTTTATGGGTTAAAAAGTGCATTAATTATTGTTGTTTGTTAGAAGTAACAATTTTACTAGTTTTAATGGCTTAGGTTAACTGTTACAGAGTACTGTTCCTTAATATGATAAAACAATCACAAATATTCCATCTCCATTGCAGGCCCAATGATGGAACGTGATAAGTTTATGGAAGCAAGTGAAGCTAAGGAAATAGGACTGATTGATCAAGTCTTGACTAGCCCACCTAAAGTAGGAGATACACCAGCTGACACTCCAGAGTAACCCAGTATTTGCTTCCTCTTATCACAGTAGCACCCCATCATAAGTAAACAAGAATCTACAATGAGCAAATATTATAAAAAGTATTCATTAAAGTAAATGTATTCCTATCTGCATTTCCATTAATCAAACATTTTAGCACTGCAGCTAGTATGAGAGTGATGTTAATTTATCTTTTATTGATGCTGTGATCATATATCTATTTTCACTTTTTCATCCAGTCTTGGCTGCAGTATTAACATAATATTTAATCAGTATATTGAGTGTTTACACTGAGTCTTATAACTGAAAAGAATATCATCAAATTTCACAGATGCCATTTTAAACAAGAAACTTGTTGATAAAATTGGCATGAGGAAAATATATAGTGAACAAAAATTCTGTACAGTTGTGTATGAGGAATTATTCCCATCAGCATTGACATACTGACAATACAGCAAATCCTCGACTTAACAGATTAATGGGGAGAGAAGGTGCACTACATTTCTCATTGTCCATAGTTTCCATATTATAAAATTTACTTTTTGTAATTGTAACATGACGGACAAAATTAAGAATGAGCGATTTGGTGTATTGATTCAGACTACTACCAGACACTAAGAATATTGTAACCTGTAAAATGGTACAGCACTCTACTGCAAATAAAAATGAAGATGTTGAAAGTCCAGTAGCTCTCTAAATGTACAATAGAGGAGAGTAATTTTACAGTAATTTACAGGTCTCCCTCAACATTCACATTTTCAACTTTCACGGGCTTCACACATTCGCGAATTCCCAACCGCCAAATTCCCAGCCACCAAATTCCCAGCCGCCAAATCATATTTAAGTTTCCTGCCACCTGCGAGTCCCTACTACCCTCCCTCCGACCCCCGCAACTGGCAGCCAGCCCTCCCACCACTCAGTGTGGTGAGTGTTTTGTTTGTTCATTATTTGCTATTAAACTACAGTATAAATAATGTAAACCCATTCATGACTGCATATTGGAATGGCTATTCGGACAGGTATTAGACGGTGACATCATGTGTTTACTCTTGAACACTGCAAAGAATTAAACATTTCTGCTACAGCTAATAATAACAATAGTTAATAATATAATAATAATAATAATAATAATTAAATATGATATAATTGAAGAAGGAAATTGTACAAAAATCAGGGAGTGGTTGACACATCGTCAGTGTGACTGTTTATGCTGGAGTGAACATTAGTCTCCGTGCTCTTCCAAACATTTCACAATAATTCATTGTGTTTGGTGCTTGTAGATTGAGTGTGACTGGAGTGGTAGAGGCAGTGATTGAGGCAATGGTATTTAATAAACATACATGTTAATAATAATACATGTTATTAATAATATGTACTATTATTATTTATAACATATATGTTATTAAATACCACTGCCTCAACCGCTGAATTATTGTGAAATGTTTGGAAGAGCAGGGAGACTAATGTTCACTCCAGCATAAACAAAGTCACACTGACGATGTGTCAACCACTCCCTCGTATTTTCGTACAATTTCATTCTTCAATTATATCGTATTTATTATTATTATTATTATTATTATTATTATTATTATTATTATTATTATTATTATTATTATTACTATTGTTATTATTAGCAATAGCAGAAATGTTTGATTCTTTGCAGTGTTCAAGAGTAAACACATGATGTCACCGTCTAATACCTTTCCTAATTAATAATATGCAGTCATGAATGGGTTTACATTATTTATTCTGTAGTTTAATAGCAAATAATGAAAAAACAAAACACTCACCACACTGAGTGGTGGGAGGGCTGGCTGCCAGTTGCGGGGGTCGCAGGGAGGGTAGTAGGGACTCGCAGTGGTGGAGGCATTGGTGGAGGCGGGTAATAGAAGGTAATACTAGTAAAATTCTAAGAATTGGTTGACTGGAATATGTAATTGGCCTAAAATGGGAGTCAAAGTCGGCAAAATCGCCGATTCGTAAATATTGCTGACACATCAAAATTAGCGAGAGCATGATTCCATAAATTTTCCATCAAATTTCGTACTTTTTGTTTTATTACCTTCACAAAAAGATTCTCTACCATTTCATAAGAAAAAATAACAAATTTTTTTTTTGAAAATTCTTGGACACTGGGGCACCACTTCAGATTTGGGCCTTGGACCCAGAAGGGGTTAAATAACATACGTTATTAAAGCATAACATGTATATATTTAGTACAATTTACGACGTTTTCATGTATTTTATGATTGTTCATGGTTCAACAAGTTAAGGAAGCAGTATTGTAATATATTTCCCTACAATATATTGGGGCACCAAACATTCACGGTTTTTCAACATTCGCGAGGCTCTTGATCCCCTAACCCTCGCAAATGTTGAGGGAGACCTGTATAGTAATTTTACTGTAAATTGAAGTAATTTTTTCTGTAAATTACTGTGAAGGAAAGATGAGATGTAAACTACTGTGAGTGATAGCGTTGACTCAGAATAACTTTTATTCAGAGTCAGAAGATCTGTAAAGCTCTACTAGTGAAACTTTCTTAACCCTTTCAGTGCCGGTCCCATTGTATATCGGCTTTGAAGTCAGTGTTGGTCCTGTAGTACAGTGCCATGAGCTCAGCTCACTCAGGATAAGATGTGAGAGATAAATTTGGGCCTACCTATGAGAGAATGGGTCTATGTGGTAAGTATGCACCATATAAAAAAATCCTGCAACATGCAGTGCATAATGAGAAAAAACTGCGACTGAGTTTTTGGTTTAAAACAGCGACTTTGCAATGTATTTTCATGTGGTTTTTATGGTGGTATTCTCAGTTTCTTGGTCTTATTTGATAGAATGGAAGATATGTTACAGAAATAGAGATGATTTTGATTGGTTTCAGGAATGAAAGTATCTTGAAATTAAGCTCAAAGTAGCAGAAATGTTTGAATTTTGTCGATATTCCAGAGTAAACAAATGGCCAGTCTGATATGCATTTAGGAATGCACTGACATTATTTATACAATTATTAAAGTAATGTAGTAGTTTGCATAACAAAACTTTTTTTTTTTTTTTAACAAGTCAGCTGTCTCCCACCAAGGCAGGGTGACCCAAAAAGAAAGAAAATCCCCCCAAAAACGAAAATACTTTCATCATCATTTAACACTTTCACCTCACTCATACATAATCACTGTTTTTGCAGAGGTGCTCAGGATACAACAGTTTAGAAACATATACGTATAAAGATACACAACATATCCCTCCAAACTGCCAATATCCCAAACCTCTCATTTAAAGTGCAGGCATTGTACTTCCCATTTCCAGGACTCAAGTCTGGCTATATAAAAATAACCGGTTTCCCTGAATCCATTCGCTAAATATTACCCTGCTCACACTCCAACAGCTCATCAGGTCCCAAATACCATTCGTCTCCATTCACTTCTATCTAACACGCTCATGCATGCCTGCTAGAAGTCTAAGCCCCTCACCCACAAAACCTCCTTTACCTCCTCCCTCCAGCCTTTTCGAGGACAACCCCTACCTCACCTTCCTTTCCCTACAGATTTATATGCTCTCCATGTCATTCTACTTTGATCCATTCTCCCTAAATGACCAAACCACCTCAACAACCCCTCTTCAGCCCTCTGACTAATACTTTTATTAACTCCACACCTTCTCCTAATTTCCACACTCCGAATTTTCTGCATAATATTTACACCACACATTGCCCTTAGACAGGACATCACCACTGCCTCCAACTGTCTCCTCGCTGCAGCATTTACAACCCAAGCTTCACACCCATATAAGAGTGTTGGTACTACTATACTTTCATACATTCCCTTCTTTGCCTCCTAGATAAACATTTTTTGGTCTCTACATATACCTCAACACACCACTCACCTTTTTTCCTTCATCAATTCTATGATTAACCTCATCCTTCATACATCTATCCACTGGTACGTCAACTCCCAAATATCTGAAAACATTCACTTTTCCTTTCTCCTCTTCCCCAATTGGAAAATCCAATTTTTCTTTTTCTAAATCATTTGATACCCTCATCACCTTACTCTTTTCTGTGTTCACTTTCAACTTTCTACCTTTACACACACTCCCAAACTCGTCCACTAACCTTTGCAATTTTTCTTTAGAATCTCCCATAAGCACAGTATCATCAGCAAACAGTAACTGTGTCACTTCCCATTTTGTATTTAATTCCCCATAATTTAATCCCACCCCTCTCCCGAACACCCTAGCATTTACTTCTTTTACAACCCCATCTATAAATATATTAAACATATTAAATATATTTTTTGTGTGAATAAAAATTCAAAACGAAAAGCAGACATAATGTAAGAGGGACCCGGAGACATGACTAAGGAATGGAGGAAATGTTTATTTAGTGCTAGGAATGTCTGCATTGTTTATTCTGAAACCTATTTTGAAATTGGTAGTTGTTTAATTTTTTATGAAATTGGCCAAATTGTCAATTTCTGATCACTTTATTGGGTAGTTGAAATAGGTAAATGGGTGGTTTCTTGTACTCAGTCGATAGAATAGAAGGCATACTAACAAAATAGCTATGAGTTTGGTGGACTGGAACAATGGAATTGGCCAAAAATAGAGTGCAAAGTGGGTGAAATCACCAATGCCTAAATATTGCAGAGACCACTAACTTTTTGAGAGCATAATTCCGTAAGTTTTCCATCAAATTTGTACTTTTGATTTCATTACCTTCAGAAAAAGATTCTCTATCATTTCACAAGATAAAATTATTATTTTTTGTTAAGTTTTTCAAGCCTGAGAGTAAGTTTGAGAGCCGGGTCTCGACGCTGAGAGCAAGTTTGAGAGCCGGGGTCTCGACACTGAGAGCAAGTTTGAGAGCCGGGGTCTCGACACTGAGAGCAAGTTTGAGAGCCAGGGTCTCGACACTGAGAGCAAGTTTGAGAGCCGGGATCTCGACACTGAGAGCAAGTTTGAGAGCCGGGGTTTCTCGACACTGAGAGCAAGTTTGAGAGCCGGGGTCTCGACACTGAGAGCAAGTTTGAGAGCCGGGATCTCGACACTGAGAGCAAGTTTGAGAGCCGGGGTCTCGACACTGAGAGCAAGTTTGAGAGCCGGGGTCTCGACACTGAGAGCAATTTTGGGAGA